CTGAAGGCAGTGAGGTGCAGTAAAGAGCCAGAGGACTTGGGCTCAAACACAGACTTTGCTTCTTCCTGCTTGTGCGACCTTTAGGGTCAATCACTGGACTGTCCTGTTGGGGGCTGGACCAGATGACCCCTCGGGCGCCGTCCAGCTACACCTCTGTGATGTCCCCCCCCCCCAGAGCAGCATAGGCCCATGGTGGCTGTCAGGCACAGTGACGGCCACCTTTGAGACAGGGCACTCACCCACATCCAGCTCCGTCCTGGGGCAGTTGTGGGGAGAAGGCTTTGTAACGTTTCAAGCCCGAGAGAGAAAGTGGGGTCACCTGATGTTAATGTCAGCCCAGCCTCCAGGCTGGCAAGGTGCTGTTCTCTCAATGGGGCCAGTGCCCAGGCAGGCTCTACTAGCTTCACCTACATTACAGTACATCCCTATACTAATTAGACTCATTTGATGTTAGAATACATGTCATTCACTGGGAAACAGGCCAAAAGAAAGCCATGTCTTTCACAATTTCAGTGTCTCATATCTATTCTCACACTGGACAGGCAAATCTGGGGATCCTAATTGTGAAAGTCACTTCATCTTCCTGGGCCTCAGTTTCTCCATCTGTCAAATTGTAATAACGATACTCAGGGAGTGATAGAAACCACGAAGCATTGCAGTAATGGGACTGATTTATTCCCACTGAAATGATGACAATTATGGAATCTTAGACCTGAAATGGCCTTCAGGACAACTCATTTTGCAGGAGGAAAGAGAATAGAATGAATGCTGGAAGAGACGCTGGAGGCCATCTGGTCCAGTCCCTCATTTGACAGATAAGGGACCAAGGCCCAGAGTGGTGAAGTGATTTGCTCATGGTGGTGGCAGAGCTGAAATAGGAATCCAGGTGCTCTTTCCATCGCCTGCACTGGACGCTGGACGGATCAGCCTACATTTACAACTATGGATGTCGCACGCGGGGGAGCTCGGTCAATGCTGCTCCCCCAAAATGGTGCCAGTACAAGTAAGCAGTACTGGGCACAAAGTAAGCACTTGGTAAAATGCTTGTGGATTGACCGACTGATTGATTAAGAGCTGAGGGCTCCTGCAGGGGAGAAGAGCTCAGAATGAGGAAAGGGAACGGCTGGGGGCTGAGGTTCCAACTCTGGGAAGAGGCAGGGTGGCTTCCAGGGCCCCGCCCCCAGCCCAGGCTCTCTCCATCCTCCCAACACCAGGAGCCGCTCTCCAGGGCTCCGGCACCCCATTTTTGGGCAGGTAACCCATCTCCTGTGTGGTTCTGTTACCCCTTGGGGGGCAAGGGGTCAGGCCAGGCTGGGGGCAGGAACACTGGCTTTCTGCACAACTCACTGGAAAATAACGCCCACACAGCGCAACCAGGAAACAAAAGCAAAGAAAAGGGGACAAAAACGAACCAAAGACAGAATATTCTTTAGGGGGTGAAACAAAACAAAGTAAAAATTTGGTTTAAAAAAAAATCAACATAAGAAAACCGACAGAACAGAAGAAATAAAGGAACAGAAGAAACCAAACACTCAGAAGGCGTCTTGAACCCAACGGATCAAATCAAGGAAGTGGCATGCAGAGAAGAGAGTGACATTCTCCCATCATGCATCAGGCCCAGTGGCCCAAACGCCAAGTTACCATGACGACGTAGAGTGCAAAAATTCAGCAACGACATTACCAACGGGATGCAGAAAGGCGCTCACAATGCAGGGCGTCGTGGGTAGTGACCCGCCCGGCGGGCCGGGCGCATCGGAAACATTTTCTCTTGCTTTTTCGCTCTTATTTAAATTTTTTAATTGATTGATTGATTGATTGATTTTTGGTTTGTTTGTTTGTTTGTCTTAAGAATGTAAAAATGTGGGTAGAGAACGTAAAAAAGAAAAAAACACACCAACCTTCTCGTAGCTCTGAGGGATGTTAAGGGGGTTTGATGCGGAACACAATGACATGAGGAGAAGAGAAAAAATAAGGGGAAACACAGAGAGAGTAAAAGAGGCCTTCCCAAGGCTGTTAGCTGCAACCGTTCTTTGCTTGTTCTCGAAAATAAAAAAAAAAAAACTTCCAAAGTAAAAAAAAGCCAAACAGCTTCTGCAATTTGCCCCTGACACCGACTCTATCTCTACCGTGGTGGTTTTGTCTTTTGACATTTTCAAGTGTCCGAGCTCCAGGCCTAGGCCTGGGAAGGCGACAGGAGTTAGCTGCCACCACTAGCACCCGCCTCCCCTGCCCCCGGTCCCCAGAGGGGGAGGAGCCAAGGCGGCACCTCGGGGAGCTGAGGAGACAAGGCCCTGGAGGTCCAATGCCTCCCCTTGGCCACCCCCACCCACCCACTCCGCCCAGCATCCCTCCCCTGCCCACTCCACTGACCACCCCCCCCAATTCCCAGCCCACCCCTCTACCCCCTGCCTGCCTGCTGAGGCTACTGCTTGTTTGGGAGGGTGGTGGGGCAGTCTCTGGAGACCTCAGAACTTACAAAGCTTCACCCAAGCGTTTATAGAAAGAGACAGAAGGTTAGGGAGGGTTGCCCACCAGCCACTGCTGAGCATAGGGGAAACTCACCGGGGGTACCTTGGTGGCTATTTTAGGTGTCGTGGGAGGGAGGCTTTGTTTGGTTAGATCCAAAGCTCTGGAGTTACCCAGTTCCCTTTCTCCTTTCACTTGCCTAGGCCCCCTCACCCCCACTGGCCACCTATAGTCAAACGTACCCATGGAGGGGATGGGGGAGAGAGGAGACTGTGGTGTGACTGGGGGAGAGGCAAAGTGATTTTTGGCTACAGTCTTGGAAAGAGGCTTTTGGAGGTGGGTGGTGGGGAGGAGATTCCTTCTCAATTAATCAATTTACCATAGCATGGGGAAGGGACTTTTAAAGGTTGCTCTACCCCGCTCTCTTAGTTAAGTGAGACACCTGAGAGTCAAACCTAGGTCCTTGGATTTCAAATTCTTTGGAACACAGAGGATCTGATACCTTCATTCTCTCATTGTACAGGATTACGGAATCTCAGAATTCCACTGGGGTACCTAACTCTCTTGTTTTACACTTGGGGAAACTGAAGCTCAGAGAAGGGAAAGACTTGTTCAGCATCTCATAACAAGTCAGTGGTAATGCCAGGATTTGAACCCAGAGCTAGTCAACAGTCTAGGTTCTTTCCTAGGTTATAGGAAGTTGCCTCTGCCCTGCTTTCTACCCTACTATCATTAGGTACACAGAGAGCAGGGAAAATCGGTGGATTTAAAAAAAAAAAAAAAAAAGAATGGCTCTACATTCCTCCAAATCCAACTACTGCTTGATCATTCTCCATCTCCCAGGGCTCCGGTGTAAACACAGGAAGCAGAACCAGCCTGGCATCACAGTCTAAGACTGGGTACGCAGACTGGCCCCAGGGAAGCCCTCCAAGATGCCATGGCCCTGATATGGGAGGGATGGGCCAGAAGAAAGTATCAAGACCTCTAAGGGGATTAACAAGGGTCTGAACTTAAGACACAAGGAGTCAGGGAGGGGGAAGAGGACGTGAGCCACTGAGGGCAGCTTGGGGCTGGGCTGGGCAGGGCCTCTGGCCACTGGGAAGGGGCACACACAGCCAGGACAGATCGTGGACAGGCAGGGCCTCTTTAAACTTTCCTGGGGTTTCTCTGGGTAACAGCTAATAGGAAAAAAAAAGGCCAGGGACAAGGCCGGCTTTAGGCACAGGTAGGCAGGGTGGGCATGGTCTCAAAGCTATTTCCCTTCCATCCTTACGACACCTGAAACGCCACCATTAGAGCTTCCTTTTTGTAAGCTTAAGATTTTACCAGGAGGTGAAAATACAGATTCTGGACAGGTGGGCACACACTAAGCTATTACTCAGTCGCTGGTGCCTCAGTATAACTGAGTCTCAGTCTTTTTCTTTTCCCCCCAGACAGTAGGCTTAGCTGGAAGGGAAGCCAATGCCTGTGTCTAGGTCCAGTCCTTGGAGCAGCAGTGGGGTAGGGGGAGAATCAGCTTCCAAGGCTGGGGGCTCCTTCATGCTCTCTGCTAGCCCTCACCCCGATTCCCAGCTAACTTGGGAGGGAGCCGCGTCTCCCCCTGGCAGGGGTTTTCCTGGGGTCCAGGGTGGGAGTAGACAGGGTTGGAGGGGGAGGAGGGGAGGCCCAGAAAGCAAAGCCAGCCCAGACAATGAGGGGGGTGGGGTGGGAGAGCTTGCAGCACAATACACCATGGGAAGCTGACTAAGGAGCACGGGTGGGGAGGGGGTGGAGACCTGCGGGCTCCCCCTGCCCTGCAGGCCCAAGACAGATCACTCCCACCCTGACCCCTGCCAAGTTCCTGGCTTCCCTCCCAGAGTCCCTCCTGCCGGGCTGGGCTGGGCTGGGTGAGGGGCAGCTCTCCCTCACCCAGGGGATGGCTCCAGTTTAAGAAGAGCTCACTATGCCCCATGCCCTCTCTCCCCACATGACCTACTGAGTCCACTGTTCTCAGACCGCAGGCCTGGTCTGGCTAAGGGATCCCCCACAACCCTAGTACCTTCAGGGATCCCCACCTGGGGGACAAACAGATCTTGCCAAGGGTCAGAGCGGGTGGCAGAGGTCAAACTAGAACCCAGCTCTTCTATTGGTACATCGTCAGTAAGAGCCGGAGCTTGACTAGGGATGCCGCGGCCCAGACAGGTGAAGGTCACCGGGGGAGTGGCCGGCATGGCTGGGACTAGGGCCGTTGGGAAGGGCTCTTAGAGAAACCCCGATACCACCCAGTCACTTTCCGGAGGACGAACCTGCTGTGCGGGGAGGCCCTGTCTCAGGGTCTTGACTGTGTCCCCCCTCTCTTCCTGGTGCTCAGCTTTCCCAGCATCCTCAGCCTGCCCTGGTGCCTACCACCTGCCTCTCTGCTACTTTCCATCCCCAGCCCCAAATCCCGGATCTCTTGCTCGGGTCTGCGGGAGCCGGGGAGAACCCGGAGGGTACAGGGTGAGGGGGGCGGGGAAGAAGCTGTGCCCTGAGTTTCGGGACGACGCGCTCCCTACCTCTCACGTAAAGGTTAGCGGGGGACGAGTAGCGCACTCCCGCGCTGTTGCTGGCCACACACTCATATTTTCCTTGGTCCGTCTCCTCGCTGCTCTCGATCTGCAGGGCACCTGGGGGAAGGCGGGGGATGGGGTGGGAAGAGAAGGACCAGAGGGAGTCAGTACCCAGGGCTGGGGGCCATTCCAGCTCTGGACCTCCCTGAGGCTGGCCTTCAGCTTGGCGAAGGCCTCTGTGAGCACTTGACTCAACACTTCCAGTCTGAACCAAACATCCTGGCCCGGTTCCACCCAGCACAGGATCACACCCCGCTCCCTGATCCTCCCGGTTAGCTACCACAGTCCCCCCAAACCTCATCTTCTGCAATATCTTCTTTCGTATCTCTCTAAGGTACTCAACAAAGATGTCTGACCACACTAGTAAGACTGTACTAGACTGGAGGGCTAGGCAACGTCCCTCGTTCTTCCCTTTCAATGTTGGGCTGAGCACGAGGAATTTTAGAGATGAGAAAACTCAGGCTCACGGAGCTGAACTGAGTCACCAAGGTCACAGAGAGCAATTCGAGGAACTTTAGAATGGGACTATTGCATACTATGGTGCCCTCTTTAACTGATTCTCTTTATACTGATTCTGTTTAAATCTGGATTCATTGTTTTCCCTCTTAGAATATAAGATCCTTGGGAGGAGGGACTGTTTTAGTCTTTGTGCCTGTACTCGCCCCCCCGCATCTGGCAGGGGCCTGGCAACAAGCAGGCACTTAATCCATGCTCGATGATTCAGGGATCTGTTCTGAGGAGGGGAGGAATTTTATTCCTCTACCAGACTATAAGCTCCTTGAAGGCAGGGCCTGTGTCCTAACAAACCTTTGCATCACTCTCACTCAGTGCCTAGCAGTGTTCTGCACACAGCAGGTGCTTAATCTAGCAACGGTCTGCACACAGGAGGTCTGTTGTATCTATTGTCTTATTTCACCTGCTGTACTTTGCTGTGGAGAAGCCCTGCCTCCCTAGCCTGATCTGAATATGCCCAGGGCAGGCACCTGAGGCCCGTCCTCTAGGCTCTCTGTAGAGAGGAAGGGAGCAGCAGGTGGAGTACACAGTAGATACAAGGTAAGTGGTGAACTGCCGGTTGGCCCACACAGATGCTGACGTGCCAGGGGCCTAGGCTGGGCAGCAGGTGCCCCTCGGGACAGCAGCGAGTTGATCCAGGATTGAGGGTGGGGGTGGCTCATTCACACTGGCTCCCAGGGGGCCTCAGGAAGCTATCTCCAGAAAGTAGGGGCAGCCTGGTTTGGGTTCCGTGCTCCTGCATCAGCTGATGCTGGCCTGCAATGGCTAATTTCCGGAGCAAGGAAAAACAAATGGCAAATTTTATTCCTGTGACTATTTTCGAGGTGAATCACTTTATTTGTTTGATGTTGGTCTACCTTGGAGGAGGCCATGCCACCCATGGGTCTGAATTTAAACACATGTGTCTGAATTTCATAGACCCTAATTAAATCCATCTGTGCTAGGAAGGAGTCCATGAAAATGTGTATGAATTTCCACAAGTGTGCTTGAATGTCACACACCTTCATTTAGAAGGCACCCAAGAGAAAATTAAAAAAAAAAATCTGTAAGAAGGGGCTGGCCTGACAACAAAGTTAATTGGGCAGCTGCTGAAGGCACTGGGAAGGTTCCTCCTGCCCCCAAATATCTCTCGTTGAAGGACCACAAATGTGTGAAACCGCACCATTGGCTGCTTATGTCTTTGGGGATAAAGGCATGTTTTCCTTAGGCCCTTAAAAATGCAGACAGCGTTGCTAGCCTCTTGGAGAGCATACGCATCACACCTTAGTGTGGCTGTACCTAAGGAAGGGTGGTGGGGCCAGGTTTCAGCATTTAACTGAGCCTCGATCTGGGCTTTCTTACAGCGAGCGGGGTGAATGCCTACAAGGACCTAATGTGCTTGAATTCATCTAGTTTCTCAGACTTGGAGCCTCAGGGCTATCTCTGACTCCTTACCAAATCTGCAGGACCTAGCAGACCCACTGGTCCCACTCTAGGATGGGCCCTCATCATTACTCAACTCAATTATGCCAACAGACTCCAACCAGCCTCCACTCTCAGCTGGTTCTGATCCGTCCTTCAGCACACGGCCAAATTGGCCTTCCTCATACATAAGTCTGGTCAATCAATGTCTTCTGTCTGCATTCAAGCCCCTCAGAACTCAGGGGTGGTCTGCTGCTCCAGCCAAACCACCCTCTCTGCTCTCCTGCCTCTGTAACTTGGTTCAGAAACCCTTATGGCTGGAATGTCCTTTTTGGTCCTGTTCAGTTTAAACCCCAACTGAAATGACCACCTTCTTCTTCAACCTGCTATAGCGCAGTGCTCTGCCCTAGTCTAATGCACTTGTATATTAGTTACCTACATCTACATCTCAACCCTCACTAGACTGTGAGCTCCTTGGACTGTCCAAGAGACTGCTAAGCTTTGCATCTCCTCCACGGTCTGGTACAGAACGTGCTTAATAAATGTTTTATTGAAATGAATGAAATCCTGTCCTAAGGACTTGTTAATTAATTGCTCCGCCCTGCTGAGGCCACAGATGGGAAGGACCTGTGTTAAAGTAGGTAGGGACCTGACATTCATTCCACCGGCTGCCTGCCGCTTCAGTTCCTAGATTTCAGACTGACGAGTATTTATCAGAGACAGAGGCTTGCTTCAGCTGGTGGAGACATGGGCTAAGGAATTTGAGTCTGGACACCTTATACTTCTATAGTGCTTCAGACTTTTCAAAGCACCTTTACCTCCAGAAGGAGAAACTGAGGCTCAGAGATGGGAGGAGCCTAGCCCAGGGCTACAGAGCAGATCAGTGGAAGATCAGGGACTGATTCCTGGTCTGCCATTCTTGGAGGCTTGAGTGCCTGCGGCCAGGTGGAAGAAGGGGTCTATCTCAACTCTGGTCTCAATTCAGGTCGCCCTGTTGGAGAGTTTACCTTGGTCCCACTAATGCCTCCCATTCCCCTAACTTCCTTCTTGAGAAACTTGAGAACCCAGAACCTGTCCCTCTGCCCTCAAGAGCTCTGCCCCTGACTCCATGTCCACTGTACTGGGCACATGGTCCTGCCCTTCAGGACTAAGTCTAAGCACCCAGGCCAGGATCACAGGACCTTGGAGAACTGCCTCATTTTACAGAAGTCCAGAAAGTTAAGTTTGAGGCCCAAGGCTTTGGAAACGGTTTCATTTTCTCCTAGGGAGCCCCGCCATGTTTAATGAACTGAATTAAAATACAAGATTCAAACCCATGTTCCCTGACTCTAAACCCAGGGCTCTTTCCAGGAGACCACAGCTCATGCACCTTCCCCCATTAAGGAAGGGTTTTCAGGACTCAGCTGATTCTGGGCTGGGTCTGAGAGGCATGGGTGGGATAAGTCACCGCATGCTGGTCTGCCTGGGTGACTTTGAATCCACTCCTCCTGGCCTCATGTCCCGCTGCATTCCCCATGGGATGGCACAGCTCAGCTCTGTTTCCTCCCTAAGGCTGAGGACAGACTCTGTGTGCATGTGGATGAGTGTGTGGGGGAAGAACAGAGGAGGTGCAGCTATATTCAGTGCCTGCCCTTCTCTACTCAAAGGCTATGCCATCTCTGTGGGGGAATCGGGAGTAGATGCATAAGTGGCCTTTGAAGCTATGTACAGTTTGCTTGACCATTTGGGACTGATGCCCAGAATGGTGACTCATGGCGGGGGGAGACTCAGAGAGCTTTAGGGACCAGATAGTCCACACCCCTTATTTTCTGAATGGGTAAAACTGAGACCTAGAGAGAAGGGACCTTTTTGTGTGTGTGTGCGTGTGTGTGTGTGGGTGTGTGATGGGGAACCGTCCCTTCTCTGGCCACTAGATCATTACAGGAACTAGGTCTGGAGAGGACTTCAAAAGTAAGCTACTTCAACTCCCTCTTTTTCAAGGCTGAAAAAACACAGGTTTGGAGGGCGGTCGATAGCGAAGCTTCAATTTGAACCCAAATCTTTGGGCTCTACAACCAGTGTTACTGCCAACAGCCCACACCACATTACCCACCGGTGGGCGGCCCCTTTTGCCCCTTTTATGAGGCTGGGTCATCTGCAGACTTAGCGAAAGACCTGAGAAGGAATTCCCAGCCTCGGCGAACCCAGACACACAAAGACCAACATTGAAACAGAGACAAAAGAGCACAGACACAAGAGGACAGGCTGAGGGGAAGGGAAGGGGGAGGAGGGGCGTGGCACGTGGGAGGTGGGGGAGCCAGCTAAAGGCCGCCCTAGCTCAAGCTGGAACCCTGGACAGGAGGCAGGAGGCTGGGAGCTGAGGAGTGTGTGGAGGGAGGAGCCAGAGAGGGGGGGCAGGTGGGTGGGTGAGTGAGTGGGTGGGTGAGTGAGTGAGTGAGTGGGTGAGTGGGGAAGCCTCTTACCTCGGATCGGAGTACTTTCTGTAAGGGAAGCAAAGAGAGTCAAGTGAAAAACAGAAACATCTGGCCGGCCAGCAGAGAAAGGACCCCATGGAAGAGAAGAGAGCCAATGGTGAGAAGCTGCCCAGCCTGCCTCTTTCTCTCCAGGTAACTGAAAATCTACCTGGCCTCCAAGGCCTAGCCTGTGACCTACCTCCACTGGGACTCTAGTCCTCCCTGCCCTCTGCCGTCTCTGCACTGGAAGTTCCTCAATCTTGTCCTGCCGCCTCCCACTGCTGCGCGTTTGCCCAGGCTGTCCCCAGGCCCTGTGCACTCTCTCATCTCTACCTACTCTTGCCTTATGACCCAGCTCCAGTACTGCCTCCTCCATGCAGTTTTTAGTAATCTCTCTTTCCTCAAATTATCCTAGACGTTTTGTCTCTGTCTTTTCTTCGCCCTCAACACGTTCCCTGGCATCAACATTTTCTGTGTATTTGTCAAGTTTCTTCACCAGGTTCACAGGATTCGGAGCAGAAAGGGGACTTAGAGATCATCTGGCCAGAGCATGACGTGAGCTTCTAGATTTAGAGTTGGAAGGGACCGTGAAGGTCAGGTAATCCAACCCTCTCATTTTACAGATGAGGAAACTGAGGCTCAGATTAAGTGACTTGCCCAAGATCGCATAGGTACTAGGGGACAGAAGCAGTCTTTAGACTCAGGTCTCCTAACTCCAAATCCAACACTATTTTCTTTTTCCACGTTGCCCATCATTCAACAGATGAGGAAACCAAAGTTTGGGTCACCCAGGTGACCTTGGACAAGTACTAGAGCCTATGTTCTTTCCCACACGTCCACCCCTCTGTTTCCCTTGCAGACTGTTCCTGGCAGGCAGGGCCTCTGATGTTTTTCATTCTGGGAGTCGCCAGTGCCAAGCTCAGGACAAGGAACATAGTAGGGGCTTAACAGATTGCTGACCAAATGGGATTGTTAAAAATGGAACTGAATTCCAACACAACCCGGCCCCTGTTTCTCCACCTGGAAGCGTTCCTTCCACGTCTCTCCTTAACTACCTAAAGTGGGAGGGCAAGGACTGGAAGGTCTTCTCTCACAATGCCCCCATGCCCACCCTGGGGAAGTACACAAGTTGGGCGTGCAGAGCCGAACAGGACCATGGAGGTCACTGACTCCAGCGGTCCCATTTTACAGAGGAGAAGAGTAAGGCCCGTAGAGACCCTGGCCAAAGTCAGGGACAGTCAGTGGCTGGGCCGGCACTTGAACCCTGGCCCCCAGATCTAAATCCTTAGCCGTTTCTGCCCTTTATACTATGTGTGAATCGCCCTGCTGCTGCTGCCATCAGACCTGCCTGCTTGGTCACTACTACTGGAGACTGCCTCCTCATTAGCTAATAGAAGAAGGGAGAGCGGGGAGGGAGGGAGGGAGGGCTGGGGTGCCCTGTGTGGCCAAGCCTGTGGGTCAGTGCTTTGTCTCTCGTACCAACTCAGCTTTTTTCCTACTCTGGGAAACAAACCTGGGGGGAAGGAGGATGCACGCAACGGAATTGTATGGTGGAAGTCTTTCCCTCCAAGGCCCCCTTCTGCTCCCCTTGGAAGAGGGAGGATCCATTTTATGGACGAGGGAAATTGAGTCCCAGAGGGGAAAGTGACTTCACTAAGGCCACACTCCACTAAGTAGAGGGCTAAGGTCTGAAAGCCGGGTTTGCTGACTCAGGGTAGCGTCTTTTCAAGCAGGCTCTCGGAAAACTGGACAGCAGGGAGGGGTGGAGGAGGGATTTCTGCTGCCCTCATGAAGGAGCTGGACTGCTTAGGAAGGCTCTTGGTTGGGCATTTGGATGCAGGAGCCATCTCCCCTCCCCATCCTCATCATGCTCCAAGGGCACTGGGGTGGCAGCCCTCTCTGGGCTGGCCCATGTGCTCCCTCAGACCCCTTAATTCCCACCCACCACAGACTCAAGAAATTGGTGGAGAACTGCTGGCCGGCAAAGGGGGTGGGCTGTCTTCAGAAGAGAGGGCACAAGGGTACCACTGCCTAGGCATGATCAGGCAGCCCTGTTCTCTTGGGACTGGCAAGTGGGGAAGTGAGGACATTGGTTAGAGAGTCAGCTTGGGAAGGGTGTTAGGAAACTTGGTTAGATGAGGAACAGATGGAGGGTGGGGGGGTCAGGAGCTCACTCCCTCCAGGTTAATGAAGCACAGGGATTAGCTTTCAGGTTTGGGATTACACACAGGGCTGGGGGCAGGGTTCACAAGGACAGTCTGGGGGCAGGAGAGGGATGGGGCAAGAGGGAGGGTCTGGGGAAGAGAGAGGAACAAAGTGGGTTGGAGACCCACCAAGGGGCAGCGACACAGTCTTGGGGGGACTCCTTTTAGCTCCCCAAGGGAAAAGGAGAAGAGCCCAAAACAGCCAACTGAGAGACAGACACCTCTGTTGAGTCAGATGGGATATCAGGCAGGGGTAGAGCGGCTGAGGAGAAAGAGGGAGGGACCAGGGGACAGAGACCTGCCTCTTCTGGAGATCTCCAATATTACGCCCCCTTGCCTCAAGAGTAAGCCAATTATTCTACCACCATGGGAGCTGGGGGACAAAGGCAGGTGTCTTTGGGGTGAGAGGAAGGAGACTGGAGTTTCATGCCTAACCCTACAGACCGTTAAAACTGACAGACACCTTGGAGATCAGCCTCCTCATCTGAAAGATGAGGAAACTGAGGCCCAGAGATGGAACTGACTTGTGCAAGGTCACACAGCTATGATGTAAACCCAAATATTTTGACACGGCCAAATCTATCGCTTTTTTCCCTATTCTATCCTGCCTTGACTGGGGAGAGAGAGAGACAGGGAAAAGGCTTTTCTTCAAGGGTCTGGTCTCCTACAAGACATCCTCCCCCTTACTTTCTTCTTCTATCAGAGGCTGAGTGACGCCAAGGGGCCGGGAGGAGCTTGAGTTTGGGGCCTGCCCTCAAAGAGAGAGGATCCATCTGCCAAAATCAGGGGTAAGGATCAGAGTTCTGCATCCAGAACTGTCCTTCCCAAGGGACAGATGCCAGCGATGGATGGTGGAGACCAGCCTGCCTATGCCTCTTCTCCATCACCAATACCAGCTGAGGCCCAACCTGCCAGGGACCTGGGAAGAGATGGGATGAGGAGAAGGGGAAGACCAGTGCACTGCAGGTTAAGCAGAGCCTGGGGGAGCAGGAGGCAGAGGGCCTGTCTCCATAGTAACCAGAGAACACGTACCAATGCCTTCTTTGTGTATACATTGCTCTCCCAGGAGGACGTGGAAGGAAAAGGGGCAGAGCAGGGGGAAATGAGTGTCTCGGGCTCACAATGTCAGAGCAGGAAATACTCTCAGAGATTCCCTTTATTTTACAGATGGGGAAAATGAGGCTCAGAGACAAGTCACACAGACAGTCAGCAGGAGGGAAGATTAGAACTTAGGTCTCTTGACTTTCAGGTCAGAAGTCTTTAGATTCAAGGAATACCATAAGTCTAAGGAACCTTAGCAATCGATCCCACCTCTTCATTTTATAGATAGGGAGACTGAGACCCAGAGAAAGGGATGAGATTTATCCAAGGTCATACCATAAGTCAGTGGCAAGGCTGGGCCTAGAATCCTGCTCTCCAGGACACTTTAATCTTGTGTGAAAAGGCTCTCATCTCTTGCCTTTTGGATTAACTGAAGTCCTCAAGGGGTTGCTGGTCTAGGGTTTGAATCAGGTTGATCTATTCTCTGCCCGCCATGCACTCTCAGGAGTTCCAATTCCTCTGTTACAGATTTATTTTTCTGGTATCTGGAAAACTTTTCGGTGCCCAAGAGTCTCCCATTAAAACACAAATCCTCCTTGGGGTGTGGGATTAGCTATTGCGCCTGGAGAATGGTAGGTAGGGGGATAGAGACAACTCCCACCATTTTGCTGGACTGAACATATCACACAATTGCACATTAGAGCTGGAAGAGTCATGAGATAGCCAGTCCAATACCCTCATTTTACAGATGAGGAAACTGAGGCCCAGGGAGGGGAAGGGACTTGCCTAAAGCCAGAGTATGTGGCTAGGTCTCTTCACTCCAAGATCTATTATTCTTTTCACTCCAACATTTTTCAGTCATAAATGTTTTCTCCCTCATGAGTGGTGCCATGATAATCCCCACTCCCTTCTTCCTTCTAGGGCCCAGATCACTGTGGGAGGCAGCATGGTGTGACAGAAAGGATGTTAGTCTTGGAGACAGGACACCAGAATTTGAGCCTGGATCTGACACTTCCTAGTCACGGGACAGTGGGCAAGTCACTTCCTTTCTACAAGCCTCGGCTTTCCCATCTCTAAAATGGGGCCAATGATACTGGCACTGTCGACCTCCCAGGGCCACTGTGAGGAGTCATCATACTCTTAAGTTTTCTGTAAGACAGAAAATGGGTGTTATTGTCATCTTCAATAAAAGATTCACTCCTAAAGTTCTCCACTTATTTCTTCTTACAGTGTGACAATGTCCAGGGGGCTACAGGAGGACCTGCTGGGGGACAATGATCTCTGACAGGTCCAAATGAGCTGAGGTGGTGGTGGCGGGAGAAGGGATGTCATCCTGGCCATTGCATTAGATAAGATGGAAGAGGGCTCTGTTTGTACTGGGCAGGGGGGGTACCCATGCCAAGCAATGCCAGCTCCTAGCTCCTCCTAGTATTTTTAGATGTGAAACTCTTCCCTCCCTCCTTTCTTCCCCAGGGGGAGGGATGAGATAGAAAGGTCACCCTTTCTTGCCTCCAAAGGCTGCCACCCCCAGTCTCCTTTCTCCTTCCTTCTCCTTTCTCTGAGGCTCTGGCCTTTGGTGCCCCCGAGGACAGGTCGTTCTGAGGGAGAGAAGGCTCCTGGTGAGAGGGGTTAGTAAACATGCCGTGTCTAAAGCTGTTAGGGTGGTCATTAGTTCTGGGGTCAGGAAGGACATTAGCTGTTTAACTTGCTTGATCAAACAGACTTACCAAAGGTCTCTGAACGTTTCAAATAGTGAATCAGAAAAGAAAACATGAATTTGTTAAGTGGGTTATTCAGACAGTAGCAGTCCCTAAATGTGATGGCTTTTCTGGTCTTGGGTCCTTCCCAGATCCAACCACTGCTGACTCACAGAAGAGGAGACACAAACCCCAGTGGGGGTGACACCCCTCCCCACCTCCCCCAGGTAGCACCCTTGTCTCTGGAAACTCTCAGGACCTTGAGGACGCCATCTCTAGGGGGGACTTTCTGTAGAAAGTCTGTTTTCCCCAAATGGGGGGGGGTCGGGTTTGAGGAGCATGAAGCTGGGTTTAATTTGGAGGGGAGGACAACGAGGCAGGTCCCAGTAGCTTCATTTGTTAGGTGAGGACATCTATGAAGACAGAAACTCAGATAGAAATCTTTCTTGTTACTCACATACCCACCCAATAAAAGAGCTCCCATTGGGCCTAGCCTCATGTGATCTCCCAACTCCCCTGGGTGGCTCTCTTCTTGATTTCAGGGGGCTTCTAGGACACTTCTACTTTGAGGTCCAGAATAGGGAGAAGGGGCATTAAAGAAACCTAGCTACTCCCATCTTATCAGCCAGGGGGAAGAATCTGGGAGAAACATGAAAGAGCTTCAGTATTCTCTGGTCACAGCTCAATAGGTGAGGTTTTGAGAGGGAGACTGAGAAAGAAGAGAAGCCAGATGAGGCACGTGTATGTCCATGTGTGAAGTTTCATCTCTAAACTGGACAACGTTAGGAACTAGCTGAGGCTTTTGTCGGTAGCTCACAGTGCAGAGACATATATGTATATGTGTGCATGCACACAAGCCAATTGCATGGTGCCATATATGCCAACAGCTGTGTATGAAGACACACAGGTGTACGCAGGCAGGGACCAACAACGCGGCCACACAGATACCAGGGTCCATGTGTGTGTACAGTCACATTTGTGTGCCTGTGAGGTATGAACATGTGGGTGTGCATGTATCTGTGTGCATACACACATGCATGACGTAATACTTGGGGAACTCACGAGAAAGAAAACAGCTACAAACACGGACACGTATATAAGCAATGCTACGCCTAACAAGCACGTGATCCGGTGGACAGATGGACGAACAGATGGGGGAAGACAAACAGAGCCCAGTGCCAGGCACCGAGCAGATACACACAGCTGTCAGGGGAGTGGCTCTTGTTGGGATGACCCCCAGGGCCACTGAAAAGGCCAAAAGGCGAGGCCGGCCCTCGCCCGAGGGAGAGCCAAGGTCACAGAGGGACAGGCTGGGCCTTCCATCCCCTCTCCATAAAGGCTCTGGAGAATGCCCTGAGCTCCCATAATGCCAGGTGCATATGAAAGCCTCTTGCTTGTATCAGAAAGGGCTGGAGGGAAGACTGAGGTGCTCCTTTCCCCTTCAGAATGCAGGGATCAGAGGCCATGACTGGCCAGGCAGCTTTTAGTCCAGAGCAGAAGGTCCTTCTTGTCTGGGCACTTCTCTAAGGGCCACCTTGCCCAGTAAGGCACTGTCTTCCCTGTCTGACATCCCGTACCCCACCCCTCCCCCCTGCCCCTTTCTCTACCCAAATCCTTACCCGATCTCAGCTGTTTGATCCTGCCATTGCTGGTGCTTGGGTCCACTGGTAGGAAGTCTTTGAACCAGGTAATTTCGGGGTCTGGGTTTCCGCTGGCTGCACAGAGCATGGTGGCAGTCCTCGTACGCTCTACCACCTTCAGCTGGGGGCCCATGTCAATGTTGGGAAAGCCAGGGGGCAGCTGGTCCTCTGTGGAGAGAGCAGGGCCCATTGGTGATGGAGGTGGTTAGGGGGTGGGTATTTGGGCAGAGGCCAACAGGACACCTCCATGCGCGACTCCAACCCACACCAAACTCATCCCATTTTTTAACCTTCCCCCAACCCTGTTCCACTGCTTGGGCAGGTCGAGGGGAAAGAGCCCTGGACTGAGAGATGACGGGTTCAAGTGCCCACTCTCCATTGACTGACTGCAAGGCCTCAGCTGAGTCATCTACCCTTACTCTGAGTTTCCTCTGGCTGTGAATATGAGCTGGTGAGGACTACCGGGTTAAAATGGAGTGGGGAGTCAGGCAGCCAGGGCTCTAGGCCTGCTTCTGAAACTCACTCTCTGGGTCATCTTGGGCAAGTTACTGATGCTCTTCAGGCCCCAGATTCCTCATCTGTAAAAAGTGGTTAATCCCTGGCCCACCAGCCTTCCCAGGAGCACAACGAGGACCGAATGAGACAACAGATATGAATGTAGGGAACTAGGGAGGGCTCCCCCGGGGCTGATGGCCTCAATCAGCTGTCAGGAACCTCTGGAAAGTAATTCTGAGCAGGCAATGAGGTGGGACCACTGACTGCTGGGCTTCTGCCATTCAGAGCTTTCCAAACTGTGTCAATAGGCTCAGTGGCCTAATTCAGAGTATATGTGCAGGGAGGGGGGAGAGGGAGCTGCAGCCTGCATCTAGGGAGGGAACAGGGAGGCATCCCAGGTCAATGCACTGGCGGAGGCAGAAGAGACCCTCTGGGGCCTGGGGGTGGTCTAAGCAAGTCTTTCTCCTCTCTTTCCTCATCTGTAAAATGAGGGCATTAGACTAGCCATGATGTTTTGTTTTCTTTCCCAAGGGACTTTCTAACTGTGACATTCCATAATATAAGGTCTCCTCTAACTCTGACACTGGATATTCTAAGGGCCCTCCAAACTCTGACATTCTATGTTTTGAAGGCCCTCCTAGCTCTGACATTCTATGTTCTAAAGGCCCTCCCAGCTCTGACATTCTGTATCCTAAGATCCCTCCCAACTTTGACATTCTGTGTTCTAAGGTCCCTCCCAGTTCTAACATTCTGTGTTCTAAAGGCCCTCCCAACTCTGACATTCTGTATCCTAAGGTCCCTCCCAACTCTGACATTCTGTGTTCTAAGGTCCCTCCGAGTTCTAACATTCTGTGTTCTAAAGGTCCTCCCAGCTCTGACATTCTGTATCCTAAGGGTCCTCCCAGCTCTGACATTCTATGTTCTGAAGGCCCTCTAAGCTCTGATGCTCTGTGTTCTAAGGTCCCTCCCACCTCTGACATTCTATGTTCTGAAGGCCCTCTCAGCTCTGATGTTCTGTGTTCTAAGGTCCCTCCCAGCTCTGACGTTCTGTGTTCTAAGGGCCCTCCCAGCTCTGACATTCTGTGTTTTTTTCACCTTTTCTTTTATCTTTCCATCCTTACCCGTGCCCCGTTAAATCCCAGGCTGAAGTCACTACTCCCACTGGAGCACTTTCTCTATCACAGCCTGAGGGGCCTCCCACATAGCCAAGACCCCTGATGAACAGAAATCCTCCTATGAAGAAATTGTACAAAGGGGGATGGAGATGATTAAGCCATGAGCCACTGCCATAGCTGACACAGATATTGCCAGACCATCTGGAGCAAATCTCATTTTGTGTGTGTGTGTGTGTGTGTGTGTGTGTTGGTGGTGAAATAGGGAGGGACCATTACCCTCATTTCCCAGATGGGGCAACTGAAGCCTGGGGCCTCTCCCAGGAGGGTGCTGTGTAGCTGGGAAAGAGTCACAGATGCCCTCATTGTCACCACACCTAGCTGCTCAGTCAATGAAACCCTCTGGGTTCCCTTGCATAGCATCTCACTACTTTGCCTCTGGGCAAGTCACAGAACCAGGATGAGGCTTGGGAATGAGCACATTAGACTAGATGATCTCAAACGTCCCTTCATGCTCTCAAGCCTACAATCCCCAAACGCCCTTTCAAACTGGACATCGTGAACACGCTTCCCTTCCTGAGTCCTGGCTGGGGCCTGAGGGTTGGAGAGCAAGGGCCCTTCAGGAGCCCAGGGCGACATCTGTAATACATCAATGGGCCAGGGCTGACTTTTCCCCCTTCAGAAGTAACTGCCAGAGGCCATAGTACCCGCCTTTGTCCCTCTGGAGAGATGAATGGAGGACAGAGAGGGGGAATTTGCCACTGCCAAGATCTACATCACAGCCTCTGAGTTCTCTCCCACCCTCCCAGGTTTCTAGCTCAGGCACAAGACCTGGGTTTGGTTTTCTGAAGTCTACCATTCATCTGCTGTATGACCTTGGACAAGTCACTGCCCTTCTCTGGGGAGTTTCTTCCTCTGTAAAATGACAGGACAGGACGTGATGATCTCAAGTTCATTCCAGCTCTAAATGGGGATAAAATATCACCTACTTCACAAGGTTTTCATTGGGGTCCAATGTAAAGTGCTCAGCACAGTGCCAGGTACAGAGTAGGTACTTAATTAAATGTCTCCTCCCCCTTCCTACAAACTCTTCTCAGCTTTGTCCGTACCACACGTTAATGTTTATTGATTCTGTTCTCTGTGGGTCCCATTCCTTCAACCAGCCTTGGAGTCAACAGCGTTATCTTCAATCATGGGGCCAATATCTTAGGAGGGCCACTGTTAACCTGGGGAGAGCATCCAGAGAAGGGTGACCAAGATGGTGAAGGGACCAAGCTTGATGCCAGTAGAGGACTGGCTGAAGGAACTAGGGAAGCTTAGCCTGAATGTGATAAAGGACTTTAAGCACTGAGGGCCAATCTGTGGAAAAGGGATTCCTCCTCTCCTCCTGCTTGGCCTAGAAGGTACGCCACAGAGGGACAGGCTTTGGCCCGGAGGAAGGAAGCAATTCTAATAACCAGAACTGCCCCAAAGTGGTAACAGGCAGCCTTGGGAGGCAATGAGTACGGGAGGGTTCTAGGAGGAGGCTGATCACTAGTCAAGGATACTGGTGTTCCTTCTTCTGCCTCTCCCACCTTCCAGAGAACGGAGTGTCAGACCAGGAACCCTCCCAGCAGGGCTCAGAATAGGCTTGTCAAGGCCTGATTTTTCCTGGAGCATCCAAGAGAAGGACGAGGCCATAGAGATGCACCTCTTGGCCTACCTCTCTCAGCTCCAACCACCTCCAAGCTGGGAGAAGGGAGATGCAGTTTTTGTTACAAACAGGAATAATACTGGATGGCGATGGTGTGGGGGGTGGGGGGGACACTGGGGACAACAAAGGGGGAAAAAAGAAAAGCTTTCATGTGTTGCTACTGCAGTGAGGGGTCTGGCATCGTTAACAACCAGCCAGTCCATGCTGAGTCCCCAGGATCTGTGTGAGTAACACAAAGCCCGGGATGACTGGAGGGTGTGATGGGCAGGGAACTTCAGGCCCCAAGCATCAGACCACACTGGTGCCGGCTCTCACAGAGATTTCTATTCTCCAACAGTTCCTGGGGGCTTCGGGAAAACAAGCCCAGGGAGGTAGAAGGTTTGGAAATGGGGTGAATTATATATCCATGGGGGCAGGTATGGGGGGAGCTCTTACCCCTTGACCCAAAAAGAAGATAGCAAATGTGCTATCAGAGCCACTCCTGGCTCTGATTGGTTCCTGATGACATCACAACCAAGTACTGCTAGGCTGGCAGTCCCCTGCCTTCCACTGGGGGCTCATCAATTTCATCAGCCAATTAATCCTCTAGGAGAATTGCCCTCTTGATTGGCAGTGTGTGTGTGTGTGTGTGTGTGTGTGTGTTGGGGGAGGCCTCGTATAACTATTATTACTGAGTGTTTCTAATTAAACAAAAATGTTCATCTTGCAGCACATTCTGCAGAATTCCTTGGAGTTTAATTAAAACAACAACGGCGAGAGGCGTGATCAGATTTGAGGATCAGATCGGTGGAGAAAGCGTCTCCAAGCATCACAAATTGGCACTCAGTTCAGACACTCCCATTTCTTTCCATCCGGACAAAGAAATCCTGCCCGTCCTTCCCACAGGTGACAAGGCTCCTTAGGATAATGTGTAGCGACTGGTCCCTCAGTTAAGACACTCCAACCCTTTCCGTGACTCAGCCTTTCCTGAGGCCTAGCTTTGGGCTCCACTAAGAGCAGAGGGGGCAGAGGGGGGACCATTGCCCTACCTCTAGGGAATTTGCCAGCCCATTAGGGAGTTAGGAGTGGCATAGAGGAAGCAACACTGAATGAAGATGACGACAAACTATGGTTAAGTACTAAGTGGCATGATGTCCCCTGGGCTACAGGAAATGAATGGTCAGGAAAGGCTTTTTGGAAGAGGAGGAGATGCTCACCCAGGTTGGATAACTGTTGGTCAGAAACACTGCAAAGGGGATCCCTGCCTCTGGTACCAGCTGGGTTAGATGACAGTTCATGAGGGGAAAGTGATCCGATGGTCTTAGTAGACCACAAGCTCCACATGAGTCCACAAGATAACATTATGGTCAAAAGAGCCTAATGCAACCTTGGGCTTTATGATGAGAGGCAAGGTGCCCGGAAGGGGAGAGTCCTGCTATTCTCTGACCTGGTCAGACTCCACCTGGAATGCTGTTTTCTGTCCTGGGTGCCACATTCTTTTTTTTTGCTGGGGGGGGGGGGGGGGGTGATATTGACAAGTTGGAGCACATCAGAAGAGGCTGATAAGGAGGATGAGGGGATTTGAGGCCATTCTAGATGATGATCAGTTGAAGGGATTGAGGGTGTTTCACATATAGATGATCTGGTGAGGAGTGTGGACAGAACATGACAAGTTGTTTGAAAGGCTGTCATGGGGGAAGTGGGATTAGAATGTTTGTTTGGCTCCAGAAGGCAGAATTAGGACCAAATGAAGACAGATTTCACCTTGACATAAGGAAAAATGTCCTCATAATGAGAGCTGTCCCCAAATGGGAGGGGCTCCTTTAAGGAGGAATGAATTCTCCATCACTAGAGAAGAGATTTCTGCTCAGGGATGAGATCTCCCTATACTGATGAAATTACAAATCTGGTCAGGGAAAAAAAAAAGATCGTGAAGATCAGGTGCTAATGTTTCATTTCATTCAATCTATTTCTAGCCTGTTTCTCCAAGAAGTAAAGGCCTAAGGGGAGTCCAGTTCTTGGAGGGGCAGGTTTGGTGGTACCCTGTAACTCACTTGAAAGTATGTAAGCAGGGCCACTGGTTAGTTTCTGAGGGTGCTGTCCCTCTATCCCCAAAGGCCACCCAGCTAAATGGTGGGTGGGAGAATCCACAATAGCATGGTAGAGAGGAATCAGGAGTCATGGGCTCAAAAACCAGCTCTACCCCTGACTACCAACAAATCCCTTCCCCTCTCTGGGGCTCAGTTTCCCTGCTTGTAAGATGAACTGGGTTTGACAAGATAAGCCATAAGGTCTTTTACAACTCAGATTCTTTCTATATTCCTGTGTTTCCACGGAGCAGCAGCAAAGGGCAGACCCTGAAATGAACTTAATCTCGGCTTTGCTACTAAATAGCGATGAGGTCCTGAGAGAGTCACTTCTTGGATTCTCAGTTTTCTTTCTTTCTTTGTGGTTTTCTGTGTCAAACTCTTTTTTAAATTTTTTCCCACTTAATAGTATTTTATTTTAAATTTCACTAATAACTTTTTTTTTGGAGGCAATCAGGGTTAAGTGACTTGTTCAGGGTCACATAGCTAGTAAGCATCTGAGGCTAGATCTGAACTCAGACCTCCTGATTCCAGGGCTGGTGTTCTATCCACTGTACCACCTAGCTGCCCCAGGAGTCTCAGTTTTCGCATCTGTAAGATGAGGGCTGGGGGCGAGGCTCTTTCAAGTCTGTGCTCCTAAAGAGACACCAAAGAGCACCTGGCTTCATCTTGCAGGTCTTAGAAGGGGGCTCCATCCAAGCTCCTCCTTAGAAGGGCTGCCAGGCCTGTGACCCCTCCCCCACTGCACCTCCCCATCTCCACAAAGATAGAGGGTAGAATCTACCCCCAGCCCCACCTCTCTGGTCCCAGGAAGGAGACCAGAGGCTGCGGGTAGCACTGCTGCTCCTTCCCTGCAGTGGGCACAGCTGTTTAATAATTAAAAGCAGAAGCGAGCATGTTCTCCCTGCCGTGCCATTCTGAGCTCACTCACATGTATATTTATGGACATGAGGATCAAGATAAAGGGGAAGGCAATAAAGTGCCGGCAGCCTCGTGCAGGAAGATCAGCTTGGACGGGGAGACAAGGAGACACTGTGCTCTCAGTTTCCCCCTCTATAGGATGCGGGAGCAGAGCTCCTCAATCTCTGACGGCCCTGACACTCTGAAGTTCCGTGATCCTCTGTATGCAGCCCCAGTCTGGGGCCCGGAGCAGGGCTTCTGATCAAAAAACAGGGTGTTCCTGAGAAGGGCTGGAGGGTGGATGTATGAGCCAGCCCTGGATGGGAGGGACGCCTCCGTCCTCGGTCTCTGTTTGCCTGGAGGAGGTTAATGGATTCACAGTCTGTCCTTTTAACTCTCCAGGTCCTGACGGTGGAGTCAGGCCCAGGGCCCCAAGGAGTAGGCTTTTCATGAAAGCTGTGCAAAGGTCAGTGTGTGCCTATCTCTGGGGAACGAGCAGCTGGTAGGGGATGAAGAGACGAGGCTCTGCCTCGGCCTGCAGGGGGGAGCCGGGAGGAGCCGTCTCTCCCAGATGCCCATCTCCCTCCCTCTCTCTGGCACCAGGAAGCAGCCACTGCTTGGATCAGGGTCCAGATGCACAGGGAGAAACAAGGCCTGTGCTTGTCTGGCTGACTCCGAGGCCTCTGAAGAATCCGGCCCAGAAGATAGGGAGAGGGGGCGAGGCGGGAATGATGCTGCCCACATGAAGAATCCTCCCCTTTCCCTGCTGCCTCAAGGAACTCTTACCCTGTTCTGTGCAGTGACCATTCCCAGGGCCAAGAAGGGCTCCACTAGGTCTGGCTCTGTCCGCCTATCCCCCAGAGTTTACAGATGTAAACTGAGGCCTAGGGACGAGAAGGGACTTGCTCACAGGCACACAGAGTTCAGTGGGGGAGCTAGAATGCCAGTCCAGGTCCTTTATCTCCAAGCCCCATTTGGGTCCATGGAGGGAGAAGAACACTGAGGCTTCTCTGACCCTACAGACTGCAAATCCCCACCCATTCCTTTCCTGAGCCCCAGGGCCAGTGCCTTTCAAGCACATCTGGGCCAAATCCTTCCCCCATTGATAAACCGACAGACCCAAGACGTTCCCCACTTGTCATCCTGCCTCAGCTGATCAAGGGAGCACAGTGGGGTGGTGGAGCCTGCAGAAAGCTGGGTGAAGGGTAAGGCGATTACAACCCTCCCAGCTGAGCAAGGGCTATCTCAGGCCAACCTTGACGGCTCTGACCAGCTGCCCGCCTGCCTGCCTGCCTGCCAGCAGGGAGGCCAGGCTGAGGCCACTGTCAAATCTGAGTTGTAGATTAGGGTTGGAGAGAAAGGCAATTGTGTTATTTTCCAATACACCCAGGAACTCCAGCATTACTAATGAAGTGCAGTCACGCAGAAGTCCTGCCGGACCTACTGTAATGAACAGATAATTATTTGTAACGAGCCCATTAATGGGCAGGTAAGCAAATGGGTGTTGCTAAAGTGCTAGAAAACCATTTGTTCTTTTGGGTAGGCGCTTTACTCCCTGCTGAAATCTTAACAAGCCCCTCACCCTAGAGGCATGAGGTCTAAATTCGGGGGTTTTCTTGGCCATGGAAAAGGGAAATTAGAAAAGGAAAGGAAACAAGCATTTATTAAGGGCCTACTATGTGCCAGGCACTGGGCTAAGAGCTTTTACAAATATCACCACATTTGATCTTCAAAAGAACCCGAGGTGCAATTATGACCTCCATTTAACAAATGAGGAAACTGAGGCAGATGTTTAAATGACTGCTAGTTAAATATCTGAAGTCAGATTTGAACTCAGGTCTCTATCCACTTCGCCACCTAGCATATGAAGAGGATGAATTCCTGTTCTGACCCTAACTAGTTGTGTGACTGTGGGTAAGTCACTCTTCTCTTTGAGCCTCAGTTTCCTGATCTGTAACACGGGGATCACAATACTGTTTATACAATGTACCTCAGAGTTGCTGGGAAGAAAATATTTTACAAATCTTAAAGTGTTGTAGAAATACATATTTCAACACTTTAAGGATATGTGATTTTGCAGATGTGGAATGCATTCTCTTCATTTACTTAGATTTGTAGCCCCCAGACAGTTTTGCAGAGTCTCAGAAGGTGGCTCTGGCCAAATTCCCCCATCACTGAGGCTGAGCATCCCCTCCTCCTCCCGCTGAGTTAGACTGGTCCAGGCCAGACAGCGAGTCCAAAGCCAGGCTCGTCTTTCCAGAGTGGCAGATCGGGCCTAAGCTTGGGCTTCTAGTGTGCGGCCTCCAGGAGCCCAGGCTCATTTCCACGTCACAAGGGGACACCAGGGGAGGACTCAGGCAGTTTTGGATTCTTCTTCGTCCCCCATGCCCCACACCAAACTGTACAGATAAGGAAGGCCTGGCTGGACAACATTTCCCAGAAATGATCTTCAGGGAGCTGGCCGGTTCAGGCCTCGAGGATCCCAGCCCCCACTCTGAGCTCTGAGCTCTGGGATAAGCCCTGAATCTCAAGCCAAGGGCTATGGGTTCAGATTCTAGCCCAGCTACTTATGTACGTCCTGTGTGACCTTGGGTAAGTCCCCTCTCTCTGGACCTCAGTTCTTGGCCCAGGATTTCTAAGGTCCCTCCCAGCTCTACGTCCTGTGGTTCTACTGCTCATAGAGCAGACCAAACCACTGGACACGTAAGAATTTATTCTTATTGAACTTCTTGTCATCAGAGGCACAACACAGAGCCAGATGACAGCAGGCCAGAGTTGGGAGAGACCTTACATACCACCCAGCACAACTGCCTCCTTTACAAATGGGGAAAATGAGGCTCACAGAGGGACTAGAACCCAGGTGTTCTCCCCACCTCGATCCTGAGCTCCTCAAGGTAGGGGCTAACCGCCCCTTTCCCCTGTGTGTGCAACAGAACACACTAAGAGCCTTCTCTAATTACTTGGAGACTCCTGGAATCATAGGATTTGGAGTGGCAAAGGCCTTGAGAGATTATCTAGTCCAATTACCTCATTTCAGAGAGAGTGAAACTAAAGCCTGAGAACTTTAGTGACTTGCCTACTTAGCTAATAAATAGCAGAGACAGGATTTGTACTCAGGTCTCCCGACTCCAAATCCATGGACTCTAGATCAACAAAAAGGTCACCATGGAGGTAGACACCCCCACCCACCCACCCCCTGGTTTCCCTCCTGCTCCAATTTGAGCCCAATGGAATGGGTGTGCTGGAGCCATGTGGAGATTCTGATCTTAGCAAGTGGGCACCAGAATTGGGGTTGCCAGTACCTCGGAGGACAGTGAGCTTAGCATGCACGGTGATCTCCCCGATGGGATTCTGTGCCACACATTCATAGACATTCTCATCCCGGGGTGTCCTCAGGGGCTGGATCCGAAGCACCGCACCAGCACTCTCATCAAACTCGATAGTCTGACAGGGAGAAAAGGAGCAGATGAGCATCAAAGCTCTCTCTGAGTTGCATTATCCCCACCCTACTTTCCATGCTGCCTGACACTCTCTGGAGCGTGCCCCATCCTAACTGGGAACTGCATGCACAAGCTTTCTTTTCTGCTTTTGCCAATGGGTATGTGGCTGTGGTTTAGGGACCTATGGTGACAGAGGGCAGATATGGTACGGAGGACAGGGGTTGCATTGGGACATGTCTGTGTATATGTGTGCCTGCGTGAGGTTGTATAAGTATGTTTGTAGACCCAAGTGCCAGAGTATGTATCTGTGTATAGGTGAGTGAATATGTGTGTAATAGTAGAATAATAATAACAGCAATAATTGTAACAGCTAGCATTTACAAAGCATATTATAAATATCATCTCATTTTATCCCCATAACCCTGGGAGAGAGAGAGAGAGAGACACTATTGTTATCCCCATTTTACAGGTAAGGAAACTGAGGCAGACAGCAGTGAAGTGACTTGTATGGTAGCACCTGTAAATATGTGTAGGGATATGTGCCTATATATTATATACAGTGTGGTATATGTATACCTATGCACATTACATACATGTACATCTTTGCTTAGTAGGAAAGAAGATTGTGGACCTGACCTGTAAGGGTGTGTGTGTGCACATGCACATGAGAACGTGGATTTGTGAACAGAGAGCTGGCTGAGCTTGGCTCCAGGAAGACCTGGGTTCAAGTCCCACCTCTGACACATCCTGAGTGATTCTGGCAATTCTCGGTGTTTTAGAAAGCTTTCTGGGATTACATGTTGCATTGAGAGATGGAAATTTCTCTTCCAGGAGTTCCCGATGGTAGTAAAATCACAGGCCTAGTCCCTAACCCTTTCCCTAGATATGCAGGGATGTGCTTCTCTGTGCATTAAGGGTATATGTGTATCTCTGTATAGGGATAAGTATCTGAATTTGGGAGGGAGGTTGTGTATTTGTCTCATACTGTGTATAAATATATCTATATATATCTATGAAAGGATACGTGCATATATAAAGGTGTATGGGTGGGACTATGTTTATGGAAGGCTTTGTATTTATGTGGGGGGCATGGGTGTCTATTAAGACTATAAGTATATCTATGCAGGGGAGTGTGTGATAATGGATGTGCATCTTTGTCTGAATAAAGGGATATCTGGGGTGGTGGGGGGGGTACAGATGGGTAAAGAGTGAGGGAACCCTGATTTTCCAAAAGTATTCAACTCAACTGATTCATTAGTTGAATTGAGATGGCAGGCAAGGTTCAAGAACTATTAAACTCAGGCTGCAGGGCTCAACCTTTCCCAAGTGAGGACTGCTCCTGGTTCCCCCCTTTCCTTCTTCATTTCCCTACCCCAAGGAGGTGTTTCCAGGGAAGATTAGGGAGAGGTGGGAGATGCTAGCCATCACCGGGGTGAATGTCTACAGAGTGCATTTATGCCTTTCAGTAGGGATTCAAATTCAGAGAGAGACACACTTGAGAGACTATGCCCCATTTTAGTGCAGCCTCTGTGTGAGGCCAAGACCCAGACAGCCTGGGGGAGCCCAGGGACATGGAGAAGCAGCATGAGCTCTTCTCTGAGGAGGCCCACAGGGGTGACCCTTGGATGATCAGGGATGATTGAGCTGTCTGTCTATGACCATATGTGTCTGAGGCAAGGGTGTGCGTGGTGATGACTGTGCACGGAGGGTGGGTGGGTGGCGGATGTATACAGATAAGTTTAGGTGTGTGTGTGTGTGTGTGTGTGTGTGTGTGTGTGTGTGTGTGTGTGTGTGTGTGTAGGAGGGCTGTACTTATGTATGTGACTGCCAGTTTTTTATTTTTTTATTTTTATTTTTTTTGGGTTGGACAGTGGGGGTTAAGTGACCTGCCCAGGGTCACACAGCTAGCATTATGTGTCTGAGGCCGGATTTGAATTCAGGTCCTCCTGAATCCAGGGCTTGTGCTCTATCCACTGCGCCACCTAGCTGCCCCCAATTGCCAGTTTTTTAGAAGCTGGAGATGGAAGGAGGAAGGTGGAAGATGCTGCCTTACCTCAAACCGCTGGGAGTTCACTTTCTTGCCTTTCTTGTTCCAAGTCACCCGTGGCTTGGGGTCTCCAGTGGCCTGGCAAACGAAGGAAGCCACACCACCTGACACCCCAATCTGATCCCGGGGCTCCCTGATGAACCTGGGGGATTCTGGAGGAAAGGAAAGAGGCAGCCTGTGAGGTGGGCAGGGTCATGGTGATCGCGGGAGCACAGAGGGACTTTGGAGAGCCGTTAGGACTAACCCCTCAATTTGCAGATGAGGAAACAGGCACGAGGACTTGCCCAGAGTCACCCAGGTAATGAGTTGTGGGCCTGGGATGCTGGTGCCAGAGCCAGAATTCTTTCTACCACGCTCGGGGCCTCAAGGACCATGCGGACACAATGGGAGTTCACGTTAACGGGGCTGGGCTGGGCCCAGCTGGAGTCGTGCAGATCGGCAGGTGTGACTCAAATGCCCTAGAAAACGACGCGTGGCGCTACACGCAGACACAGATCTAACCTCCTCCGTCCCGGGGGGCTCTCTTTAGAACCCAAGAAGCTCATCCACATTTCAGCAGGATCTCATAACCCTAGAGCTGAAAGCAATCTCAGGATGTGTCCAGTCCAATTTGTATTTAAACTCACACCTCCTCCACAGCATCCCTGGCAAAGTGGCCAACCAGTCTGCTTGAATTCCTCCAGGGATGGGGAACTCAGTGCCCGCAAGGCAAGCCTTTCCATGAACAGCTCTCACGTTCTACATTATTAAGGGCAGTGCCCCTGACAACTGCCATCATATCCCCACCGTGAAGCCTTCACCAAGCTGAGCACCCCCAATTCGATAATAACAACAATGGCCAACATTTATAAAGTGCTTTCCGGTTTACACAGGACTTTACAAATGTTATCTTATCCGACCCCCACAGCTATCTTAGGAGGTGGGTGTTAATACGTTCCCAGCTTGGCAGACAAGGAAACTGAGTCTGAGAAAGGTTAACTGACTTGCTCTGAATCACACAGCTAGCGAGTGTCTAAGGAAGAATCTGAACCCGAGTCATTTCAACCAGGTTATGTCCTTCTCTAGCCCTTGGTTTTTTCAATTTGTAAAACTGGGAGATGGCTTCCCTTGCCGAGTCAGAACCCCCATGTGACATGCAGGCCACTACCAGCTGCTACCTGCTCGCTTCCCTGCCCCCTGCATGCAGGAAGGCTTCCCCTAGCCCACGCCTGGAATGCACCAAGCACAGTGGAAGGAGCACTGACCAGGCATCAGAGAGAGGAGGTCTGAGTTGCAGGTGGCTTCCCTAGACCTCAGCAAAGTGGACAACACAACTTTCGAGGTTCTGGAACTGGGCTCTCCCATCTCTCCCTGTCGAAATCCTTTTTCCTCAAGGTTTGGTTCAGAGCCTTGCTCAGCTCCCCCCCCCCCCCAAAAAAAAGCCTTTCCTTACATCCCCTGAGTGAAGAGTTCTCCCCCTCCTCACATCTTTGCAGGGCAGCTGGGGACTCTCCATCACAGCTCTGACTTGGAATTGTTGGCCTAAGTAAGTACTGCAGGGCAGGTACTGCCTTAGGTGATATGGATAGGAAGTTAAAACCAAAGCAATTCCTGCCTTCAATGAGCTTACACTCCGTGAGTACTAAGCGCCCATAGGGCAGGGCCTTCTTTGTTTATTCCCTGCCCTCACGTGAGGCATTGCATAAATGTTTGTTGAATTAAGGGTTCCTTCCCTTTGGCCTTCAAGCACTTAATCCAGTCCAGGTTCCATCTGTCTCGGACTCCACCAGGAGTGTTCTTTTCTGGCTCCCCTGTACAGAACCATGAAGCCTCCTCTCATTATGCATCCCTGTATCTAGCAGGGGCCAGGGGTTCCAAAAAGATGTTTTGAGCTGGAAAAGCCCTAGAGGACATTTCCTACATTACCCTTAAAGAGCAGGAGGGAAAAATAAAGCTGTGAGAGAGAGAGGGAGGGAGAGGGAGAGAGAGAGAGAGAGAGAGAGAGAGAGAGAGAGAGAGAGAGAGAG